GTTTTAATATTCTTCGATGAATATTACACGATGTTTTATTATGCGATTTTTGTTTTATGACTTGGATTCGTTACGCACACAACTCATCTATATCTTGGGTCGATATTCACAATCAGAGTTTATATTCAAGACTGTCTTAAGAACAGTTTTAAGAAGTCACGAATCAAAGAGCCGTCTTAAAACATAAGACAGTCTTAAAATAGGAACGAACTATGAATACCGTCCTTAGATATTTCTAATTTATATATCTGTAAATGTATAATATGAATTCCATTTATATTCATTATTATATTGAATTTAAATTGTTTTACAATTTACAAAATGTTTGCATTTATCTTATTTAAAGAATGTATAATTCATAATTAATCTTTACTTATTTTTTTAAGTTTTAATCTCTTGGGCCGATATTCTAACTATTCATAATATAACTGTCGAAATATTAACGTTAACGCGTATTACACAATCAGTAGCGATACCTCTTGTCTGTATCATAAAAAAGGAATGATTTAATATATGAATACTCTCATACAATAATTTTTTGTTCTTATGTATTCGTTATATGAGGATCCGTTTAAAAATTTACCGTAACTTTGGAACTTATCGGTAATAAAAGAAATATTTCAGTAATAAAAGAAAAATTTCTCTTTTTTATTAATCTTTATTTTATTCTAGATTCTAATCATATCATCTATGTATAAATAAGATTCAGTTTTTTTATCTATTTTGAATTTATTTTGCAATGATAATGAATTGCAGACGTGATATTCGTTTCTAAAAATTAACCGATTGCATAGTAATTGCATAATAATAAAGATAATAGCTATATATTACATTTTTCAGATTATCTTCCCTCTCCGGGTACATCTCAGTACCCAGAGGATATTTACATGAAAAGAAGAATTTTTCTCAATTATCTAAAAATTTTCGGATATACCTGAATGTAGTACATCTAGAAAAATTTTTAGATATTGAGTAAAATCATTCTCTTCGTGTAAAAATCCAACGGGGAAGCTAACGTACCCTCGTCGCCGATTTACTTGAAAATATACGAACCGCAGCCGGTTCGTCGCGTCGTGCGTTTCGGGAGTGCCGTTCAAGTTATCGGACTCAAGTCATAGTCCGCGCGCGATTATAGTGTATTATCGCGAGTGTTGTACGCGAGTGTCCTGTGCGAGAGGATGACAACCATGTCCTGTGAGGAGGAAGAGGTCTGGGAGAGACATCGGGCACCGGTGGAGCAATCTTGCGGTAAATATTATTTTTTATTTGTGTAAAATTAACCTTTTTTTCGCTTGTTTTCAAATCATTTAATTTGACAATGATTTAAAAATGATTGTTTTTAAATCATTGTTAAATAAAATGATTTAAATAATTATATATTTTATGAAATAGTTATATAAAATAATTACATATCCTCTAAAGTAATTATATACTCGTATATTCTCTAAAAAAGATTTTAGCAAAAATAAATTTGTATATAATTTTAAAGTAGTTTTTCGTTATTCTTCTTTTATCTAATTTAGATAAAATAATTATATTTATTCTTTAAAAAGAATAATTATTTTATCTAAATTAGAGACAAAAGGAGAGTAACTTAGAAATTGCTTTAAAATTTGATACAAAGTTATTTATGCTAAGATGTTCTTTCGAGAATATATATAATTATTTTAGAGTATATATAATTGTTTTATATATATATATGTAATTAAATAATGAGTACGAAATTAGATGCTTACAAAAATTATATTTTCAAAATTGCATGATTATTTTTCAACAAACTGCATGCATCCATCAATTATTCATGCATATATCAATTATTTTTTAAAATAATGATTATTTCTTTACGCTGTTTTAATTTGGATTCAATAATTTAATTCGAAGTTAAAATGTAAAATTATTTAAAAAATTAAAATTTAAATATAGTTGGTTTATATAGAAAGTATAGTAAAGGATAATGAGTGAATAGGGGGAGGTGATATATAAAATTTGTTTTGTATAGAATTTATTATTATTGTTATTGTGTCGAGGGTTAGTAGAGAATAATTAAAAAGTAGCAAAGATAAGATAAGATATATAAGGAAATGTTATTTTTTAATGCAATTAAAATATTATAAATTAAAAATAATTATTTAATTTATTTTACCTTAATTTTAACTTTCATAGTAAATATATTTATGCTCATAATAATAAAAATTCAAATTGATAAATTTTATTTTTTTCCTCCTTCCAATTTTCATTTAACTTTTATAAACTCTAATATTTTTAATATAAATTTTTCTATTAATATTAACAAAAGAATATTTGATACATTTTAATAAATAAAAATTTATTTCAATAAAAATTAATTTAAAAATTTCTACTTTTATTCTCTAAATATTAATTAATAAAAAATTTTATTCATTCAACTT